GGGGGGGGGCTGTGTGCAATTCACACCGGGGTTCAGGCAGGACAGGGCTCACACGCTGCTGAATGGCACCTGCAGAGCTGAGCAAGGCGCACACACCTTGCTTGCGCTCTGGCTTTATTCTCAACCCTGAACGAGACAAAGCGGCTCCTGTCATCACTTCCAAATTCAACAGAAGCTGCAATATGGAAAAGAGAGGAGGAAAGAAAAAAGAAAACACCACCACCAAAACCAGAAATAGCTGCAGCGCCTTTTGATGTTCTGTTGACACTCAAAGCCAAAAGGCTTTGCAGGCTGCTGACTCCGACACGAAGCCTCACCTGGCAGCACTGTGCTCTGCAAAGGGCCGCACGCTGCCCTCCTGCTCATGCCTGCAATGGGTGGAAATAAAGTGTCAGCAACCACAGAATCACAGAATCACAGAATCACAAGGTTGGAAACGACCTGCAAGACCATCTAGTCCAACCACCCTCCCATTCCTATCACGGTACCCCCAGCATGGTACAACACAGGTACCCCCACGCACACGGGTTCCCCCTTGCAGGATAACCTCACACACAGGGGCACCCCTTCTTCCCCTCTGCCCGACTTTAAGAGCCTGAAGATGTGCCCTCCATGGAGCGCAATGATCTGAAGGGAGGTCAGGGATCTCAGGGCTGCTGTCCTGTCCAAGCCCAGCACCCAACCTGCTTTCTGAATCGATTCCTCTTGAGAAAAGCCCTGCTGCCTACTTTTTGTGTGTGTTTGCCTTTCCTTTCTTTAGAAAGATACTTGTTACAATCCCTCCCCCCACCCCCCCCTTCCCCTTAGCCCCATCAGAGGAATCTACTTGGGTAATTCGTTAAAGCGGATTGCTGGGGCATGCATTATGGATGAGATGCAATCTTTATTTTTGCACTGCACTGTGTGCATTCTCAAACAGAATTGGAGCTGCGTGCCAGCACGCAAAATGAACATTAGCTGCTCAAAAAAAAAAAAAAAAAAGAAAGAAAGAAAGAAAGAAAGAAAGAAAGAAAGAGCCCATTTGTTTAAAGGAAAGAGTGGAGACAAGAAACTCTCCACTCTTTCAAGCTGCTCTGCTTGGGATTGCTCAGAGCAACTGACAGCAAAAGCAGACACGTCTGTATTGTGCTGAGTAAACCAGCTCAGAGCAGCTGTGCTCTGTATGACATGCAGTTGGTGAGGGTGCTCAGCACTGTCACCAGGCACAGCCACCGAGCTCAGGTGCCACTCGCTGTGTCCTAGGAGGAGATTTGCTCTCTCCATCCCATTCAGGATCGGAGGACATGAGCTGCCAGCACTGTGCCCAATGCCCTGGGCTGAGCTGGTGAAACAGAACCACACATAAAAAAGCACAGACAATTTGGAAGCCATCCAGACAACCCTCTCCATGCTGTGTTCCATGCTTGGAGGTCACCTAATATTATTTTAGAGTAAGAATCGTAGAATCATTATGGTTGAAAGAGACCTCGGAGATCATTTGGTCCAACTGTTCATCTGTCACCAACATCACCCACTACACCACGTCCCTGAGTACCACATCTGCACAGCTCTTGAGGAAAAAAGGAACAGCAGATAAAGGAAGGATCGAGATATAAGGCTAATTATTTTTGATTCTATGGCTTAAAGGCTAATTTATCACGCCTGTAAATTGCACTTCAGGAAGCTAACATGGCAGCCTGAGCCTGGACATTATTGAGACGAAGTAATCGCAGTATTAGTGCTCGGAAAAGTGGGAAATGTAACCACATTATTGCATCATTAACACGCTGGCACTGCTGGGAGCAGCATCCCCTGCACCAGGCCCAGTGCTGCCCTTCACAGCTCTCAGGCCTATATGTGCCAGCAGCCTGGAAAACTGACAGCTGAGGGGTGAAAAGGCAGCCTGCTTCACCTTGAGTCACCAGAGCACATCGTGCAGTCTCCAACAGTTGCATAACCCTCAAATAACCGTGTTGTGAGCCAGCCTTGCTGCAAATGGGAGAGTTCTCTGCATTCCCTGAGCACCATTTGAGTCCAATTGCTCGTGGTTTCCCTCCAGTGTCACTGTGGAACCCACGTCATCTTCCCAATGTACTATTTGGCACAAGGCATCCTCTTACAGCTCCATATTCATCTCGCATATCCTATCACCATTCCCATGGCCTCCTGCCTCAAGATAGCCTGATCCCTAACAGAGAAACACACGTAGTGCACATGTTGGATAGTGAGTTCAAAGTGGAGAAAGCTATTAATTTATAACAGCGGTATTTCTTACACTAAGGGCAGTGAGGCAGCGGCACGGGTTGCCCAGAGAGGTGGTGGTGCCCCAACCCTGCAGACACCCAAATTGAGGGGATGGCTCTGAGCACTGATGGAGCTGCGGGTGTCCCTGTTCAGTGCGGGGAGTGGGACCAGATGTCTTTAAGGGCCCCTTCCAACTCGAATGATTCTATGATTCTAAATGAGGGTTGATGTGGACAGAGGTGTTGCCGAGCATCATTCGTGTTCCTGAGACCTCCAGATGTCACAACGGCTCTTAAGAGCCTCGGGTGGTTTGAAATGCAGTATGGGTTGTCTTGTGTTTGATCTCCTAAACCTGTCAGTCTCCATCACTGTCAGCAGCTGTCAAGATAAGAGGGGACACGTTTTGATGGGAGCCTGATTATTTTTTGTTGGTGTAGAGGCAGAGATGTATACG